CTTGCTCTTGATATTTAACACTGTCACAGTTGCATAATTCTTTCTGTCTTTTGAATTGTTTAAGTGACTTTATTGGTGTCAATGGAATCCTGTCACCAGATGTTTGTTTACAATCTGGTAGTCGAACAGTAGCGTAGTCGTTGGTTGTAGTGGTCCGAAGCATACAAGCACGATGCATGGTACGCGGCCTCTCCGGTACCTGCAATTGTTTACAGCGACTGTTGCCTTCGGCGGTCGGCCCGACACTCGCACACCTTTTTTTACAGTTTTCCACCGGCATAAGATCTGCCATCGTCATGGGAACTACATGGTCCGTCATGGCCTTGTCGTTTTGACCGAACCGATGTTGTTCGTTGGCCTTGTCATAACCATTATCGGTATCTCCGATCCGGCCCTTCACCCGTTGGCAACCACAGTTGAACCCTTCGGCGGTATCCGATAATGACCGAGGTGTTTGTGACGTCACGGAACGTCTGTGCTGATGGTGGCCGATCAACAGTTCTCGCCGGCCCACGGTCGGGCAGGGAAAATACGGTCGTTCAACGTGATCGTGCTTCCGCACGCAGGCGGCATTGCGATCGGTATGCAGCGCGGGTGAGTACGGCGATCGTAGCCGGTCCGTCATGGCCACCAGTCGCGACGGGTCTCGGTCGCATCGGGTGGCCAGCGTTCGGTTCGGTCGACCTTCGGTCATGCAGAGCTGTTCGCTCGCTTTCAATGCGCCCCGCTCTTGCGGCTGTTCGTGCGACTGCTGTACCTTTTCGTCCGCTCGCTGCCGATGGTTCAGATGTCGCACAAGTTTTGCCTTCCGGCGATCCAAACGGTACAGCTCCGCGTGAATCAGTTCAGTCTCTTCGGCACTGGTCCTCAGCACCCCCTCGTTACCTTCTCGTCGGTTCCGGCAAATCTGTTGTCTCCGGCCGTCCAAAATCCCAGTAGAGGGAGACGATAAGTGTCTGTCGGTGCCCGTCCGTTGTGATTGCTGGGCGTGCTCGCTCCGGTCGTAGTAGTGGTTTTGTCCACAAAAGTGCGCCGCTTCTAGAGCCGGTTTCCCAATCATAATATGTGACTTGAAACATCTCTGCTGACAGTTATCGTGATCCGATGACAGCAGTTGGAGGCGTCGGTTTTTATCGGTGATTTTTTGTACGGTATTCATGCACCCGTTCACTTCTGATGGCCTATAGGCACTAGTGACGCTATTCTCACGGTTACTGCAGTCGTTTGTACGTATACTCTTGCTCACACCATACTCGGCTGTCTCGTAATCGGTTGACTGCGCTCCACTTTCCTTGCCATTTAACTGCTCTGCTCCATTCGTCCGAAAGGGGACCTCTAAACTGCCACCGGCGGCTGTTGATAAACATTTTTTTTCTTTCTTTTGACACGTATTTTTTACTGGAATTTTCGGCGACAAATCGATTTGATAGTTTGATGGTTTTACTATTGAGACGTTTAATTTTTTGACCTCACTGAGGGCAGATTTTTTGTCAAGTTCTCTCTTGCTGTCTCTGGTGCACTTCGAGTTCATCATACCGACAAAACTTGTATATATAACGCGAAATTCGTAAAATAAATTGGTTAGGTAAGATTCATATGGCCCATTATATTTTTTAAAACATAAATAAAATACATTATTATTGTAAATGTAAGTATATCATATATTTATGTATAAAATTACTTGGCAATGAAATTAACAGTATTATTTTAACCAACGAATATAAAAAAACTAAATCGTTACGAGATGCTTGGTCGATGTGAAGAATTGTAATGTATTAAAAAGAGTGTAAACTACGACCTCTTATGCAGTTTATTAAGTAATGAAAATTGGTCTGTTTTGAATAGTACATTAAATATTAACAATCAAATTGATATATTTTATGCAAAGCTACTAAGGCATATTGAAAACTCTAGCTACGAAATTAAGTCTAACTCTAAAAATAAATTCATTAAAGAATGGATGACAAAGGGACTGTTAATTTCGGCTCGTCGTAAAAATGATATTTCTAAACTGGTTAAAAAACATCCTAATAATGTTAACTTACGTGCTTATTTAATTAAATATCGTAATAATTTTACTTAAATTCTAAGAGCAAGAAAAATACTTTTTTACAAATCAAAATTTTCTAGTGCAATCACTAATCCTAAACTAACTCAGAAATTAATAAACAATTTAACAGATAGCAATAATAACTCAAACAATGATACATTCAAAAATAGTATTGAAAATAATGGTCAAACATTTAACCCACAAAAAGATCCAGCAAATATAACAAATATTTTTAATTCTTTCTTCATAAGCGTTGGTAAAGACCTAGCTGTAAAATTCTATAACAGTTTGCTTAATTACGATGTCGAAGTACCAAGTTGTTCTTTTAATCAGCTCTTTCTTAAAAAGATTGAAAAAACCGAGGTCCAAAATATCATAAACAATTTCAAAGACAAAACGGCAGCTGGTTTTGACAAAATTTCAGTTAAACTTCTAAAGCACATAGTTCCGTGTATTGTAGACCCTCTTATCTATATACTAAATATATGCCTCGAAAAGGGCGTATTTCCAGAAAAATTTAAACTCGCAATTGTCAAACCACTTTATAAAACAGGTGATAAAAAAATGTGACAAACTATAGACCGATTTCCATGCTTTGCAATTTCTCAAAAATTTTCGAAAAAATAATTAAAGTTAGACGCACCGCTATGCATCGCACGAAAATGATAACATAAATAATGATAAGTGTTCGCAACGTGAACATAATTATTGGTGGAATTACTGGAACTGAATCGAAACAAACCAAGGCTCGCATACCTATTATAACGTTATATTCATAATGCATATAAATAGTGTATTATATACAATATACATAATACTAAATTAAACAAGTACAATTAAGGAACTACGTCTATGTTCGGCGTAGGCAAGTACTGATAAGGTAATCGACTTTCGAAAAATAATCTTTAAAATAATACATATAACTGGTAAAATAATACAACATGTAATATTAAAAATCACTTCACTAAAATATGCGTAATTCCCACAAAATTATGATACCGGTGGTTTTTCAAAAATATAATTTTCAAACCATTTTACATAGGCCCGTAGCTATGGGTTTCAGGTGTAGTAACACCCCTCCTTGACCGCGTTAACATTATGCCTAATTCTAATAAAAGTAAAAATTGATCATAAACCATGATGAAAACATATTTATCATAACGAAATATATACATAACAATAATGTAAAGCCGGGATCCGGCTTCACATTACATTGTTTTGTCTAATAAACCAAAGCCGTGGTTTTATGTCGTATCATGTGCGATTTAAAATAGATACATATGACAAAAATGTACATTTGAAATTTTAATATGATAAAATATTTAAATACTTTCTCATACAATAGTACATTACACATGAATAGATATTCATGTTTAATGTTCTAATGTGTTTGTATTTGTTGTCGCGATCAGCGCTTATATAAAAATAAATAAGGGTGCCTTCACGACAGGAAAAAAAATAATAATAAATAATAAAAACCAAATATGTGGTATAAAAAATTATAATAAAAAAAAACAAAATAAATAATATAAATAATGTGTGGCCCACACGGCACACACCAAATAATAATATAACAATGTAAATAATAATGATATATAAATATAAATAAATAATATACGGCCCACTCGGCACGCAAACACAAATAGTTTAAATGCAATACGTGGCCCACATGGCGCGCGCAAAATAATAATTCAATTTATAATAATAATTTGCCTATGACGGCACACCGCAGTGTACGAATAAAATATATAATACAACGATATCAATAATGTGGTAGATGCCTATGTCGGCTAATGCAAAATAATACAATATAAATAATATGCCTACGACGGCTGAGGGCCGTCGGCCTTTAACACAATGAAACAAATATGGTCGACCAATACTCACATAACATGTGACTATGTTGAGTGGCTGATTGCATCCACGCGACCGCACCAACCCTGTGACTAGACAAAATGCCTTAGACGGCACACCGCAGTGTATATATGAATAAAATTAGTCACAGAATTGGTACGTGCGACCATCCAAGCACAGTCACCACGAAGATAAAAGCCGTTCTGCAGCCCGAACGATGACACAAATGACAAAACCACGTTATTCACAAGGCGACCGCTGGTATACTACAAACAATGAAAAATTATAACGCTGGACAATATCTGATTGCCTCGAACGATACTTTACCAGACGGTCGAATCACAAAACAAAAAGGAGTGACGAAAACGTGGTTTCACTAAACAATTGACTGCAGACACGGGAACACGGATACACTAAAGTTGATGTGCACAACACGACGACCAAAAAACGAGAGCGAGATGGGTCCGACGACATTCACCACGAAGGCTAAGGCCGCCGGACACCGCAATGAAGATAAATGTCTCAGTGCCACCACACTAAACCAAAAAAAACACTAGAACTTACGAAACTTTGTGGCACTGAGTACATGACTTTTAACTATACAAAAAACATAACCGAAAATATGAAGAAAACGTGGAACAACGAACATTTACGCGCGACGATAACAGCGCGATTACGTGCCCGGCCGGTCGCACACGGAGGCTTATCACCACCGCCGACGATGGCTGCGGACACGCAACGCACCGCTACACATCGCACGAAAATGATAATACAATACAGACGAATTACAACACCTTACATTTATTTCGCGGCTTATGGCGCGAACAGTATTCTTGTACAATAAAGTATACGTAAAGTATATATTCTGCTGTGTATAATTTTGAATAACACCCCCCTTTTAAAATAGCTAGCTACACGACTGAGTTCACCAACCTTCTCACCAGTAAAATTATCATTATAACATTATCAACATAATAATGTACTTCCAAAATCGCAAAAATGTTCTCGATATCGCAAACAATACTCAATAGCGCCATACAATATACCCTGATACTTCCTCAGTTTGAGAAGTATTATATCGACCATGATGCTCTGCTTATGGTTTTCTGTCAGCCTCAATAACAATCTTAAATTCAGCTGGATTGAACGGCATCAAATCGAGTGCATTCTTAAAACGTAAATGTATGAATGATTTCTATGCAACATATATTGCAAATTATATAATATTTGTTTATCTGTATTGGGAGCAATAGACAAACGCCTTTTTGTCATTTACTGAGTCACCCATAAAATATTTCTGTAAAAACTTTGGTTCTTTTGTACCGGTGGGCATAGGCGTAACTAGAGTCAAAATGTTGGGGAGGCTATAGCCCTAATTAAAACTATGAACTAAAAATAACTTATGGAGGACCTCATATATATATTATAGCACATATTAAAATGTTAATATTCATACAAATTGTTCCTCTGTAACATGAGAATAAAAAACTAAATCATTTCATAGCTAATAACCTAATTTAATTAGTTAACCCTACATTGAGCAAATTAAATTTTATGCTCAAAATTTTTTTTTAAAAATAATAATTTTATGTAAATATTATACAACTATACTGGAAAAATATTTTTTTTCAAATAAAATACATTTTGAGCCTAAAATTGGCATTTTTGCAAATGTATCATAAATGATACATTGCGCATTAGCGCTAATTATTACTTATTTTTATAGACTGACAATATTCAAATCTCATAAGTAATTTCCATCAATTTGTTATTTTATTGTTTGATAAATATTTTTACTATCAAAAAACATAATAAAAAAAAAAGTAACAGTTTAAATAGTTTAATAATAATAAAAATAATAAAAATTTAAACCTTTTTTCTGTCTACAAAAGACAAATTAATAACAGTTTATACAGTTTAATAATAATAATAATCACAACCTTTTTTATGTCAATAAAAGTTAATACAAATTAACAATACAAATTAATGACATTTAATATTATAGAATTAATAATAATAATAATTAATAACAGTTTATAAAGTATAATAATAATAATAAAAATCACAACCTACAATTTCTATTAGCATTACAACAAAAATGGTTTCTGCATTTTGTACAAATACAATAAGAAAGTTTTCCACAGCCTGGTAATTTACATCGAAATCTTGTTTGAGTAAAAGTTGGCCAGTGATCAGTTAGGTCCAATCTAACATTTTTGGGTGGCATTGTATTATGATGGGGTTTCTTTCTTTTAAGTTCTATCTCTTTTTCTAATAACTGTGAAGATGATGCTGATGATGGACGTCCACGTTTTGGTGTAATTACCTCTCCTACTTTTGTAAGGCTTGCGGCTACTTCAACTCTAAAATCAAATAAAGAAATAGTTGCTTTTCTACCATGTTCCATTTCAACTCTTCTATAAAGTATCCATGCATTTACTATGGCAACGTCTATTAGGTGATACCAAATTCTAATATACCACTTTTTTGACCTCATTTTGATTTTATATCTTCCTATCAGTGAATCTAATAGATCAACACCCCCCATGTGTCTATTATATTCTTTTATAATATTAGGGCAGTCAATTTTAATAACCCTTTTAGACTTTTTATCGAATCGATTAATTGTATCAATTGGTTGTATTCCACAATATGATGAAAGAAGAGATACAATTTTATTATCTTTCCATACAACAGATGTAATGGGAGTATCATTAAAAACGGTTATATATTCATAAGCTGTACCACGAGGCTGTTTGTTTAAAATTTTATCAGAGGGAAATTTACAGTTAGGTAACCTATTTCTACGTACAGTTCCTAATGTCTGTATACCTTTACTAGCCATGTAAGATATTAAAGGTATAGTGGTATAATAATTATCGAAATACAGTCTATAGTTATTATTTTCCGGTGTAATCCTTGATAATCGTACCACGGCATTGGCACTAGCCATCAAATCTGGTTCATCAATAAGTCTATATTTATCTTGGTTTTCTTGGCCGGTATAGAGTTCGAATTTATAAGAAAACCCTTTTGAACCGCACAATACAAAAAATTTGTATCCCCACTTGTGGGGTTTAAGTGGCAGATACTGCTATAAAAAAGCTATGAGCTTTTGTTGAACAAAGCTGCTCATCAATAGAGAGATCTCGTTCAAGGGGTATGCTTGAAAATTTAGCATTTAAAAAATCTACTAATGGTCTTATTTTAAAAACTCTATCATGATCAGGATGTTCTTTGGGTAATGCAGCATTATTGTCATTAAAATGAAGATAGCGTCGGATTTCTTCAAAACGTTTCTGACTCATGACATCTTTTATTGGGGAAAATCCAATTTGATTACTCCAGTATCTACGGACATTTGGAATTTGGACCACAGAAGTAAATATACAAATTCCAACATACTTTTTTAAATCATTTATAGTCAGATGTAATAATTTATTTACATTAGTTTGACTACAATATAAATGGGTTTGATGCCTTATTTGTTAATATAAATCTTCAGAAAAAAAATATGAGAAATAATCCAAAGAAGTCTTTAAATTTTTTATATCATTAGGAAGCTCGACATTAGTATGTTCTAAAGATTGTGGATGAGGACAATAGTTCCCTTTTTTCCATTTTATGGCTGAAAGTTTAACCTTTAGTGTGTTGAAATTATGTACATTATTTTGAACAGGTTGGGATTGATTAGGCAAAATGTTAGATTCTTGTTCATTTGGACCATTAAAATTATTGAACTCAATGGGCAAATTTGCAATATCTAAAGTGTCATCAAATTCATTCAATAAATCATCATATTCCTGTGGTAATATTAATGGTAAAGTGTTATTTT